CGCCCCGCGCCCACGCGGGTCGGCCAAGGCCGACCCGCGGCGGCGCGGGACGGCCAAGTCCGACCCGCGGCGACGCGGGTCGGACCAAGCCGACCCGCGCCCGCGCGGGTCGGTCATGGCCGACCCGCGGTGGCGCGGGTCGGCCAAGTCCGACCCGCGCTCGCGCGGGTCGGATCGCGCCGACCCGCGCAAGCACGGGTCAGACTTGTCCTGCGCGCACTGTTTCGTCCCGGTTCGGTTTTGGATGGTTTTTCTTGAGATTTGTTGGTTCCAGGGGTTTCTAACTGACCTGATATCATCCCCAAACGTGGTTAGGCTGTTGTTAACTGAAGATAGAGCCAAATCACTTGTTCTCATCCAAATAACCGCATTCGAGGCCTATAAATATGAGTCAAAGGCCTCCATTTTTCAGGGGCGATTGATTATCAAGACGAGGAGGTGCTGCCGGATTGTGGAGTCAAAGGAGCACGAATTTCAGCGAGGGTTGACAGATCTTGGCGAGTTCTTCGGCATAAAGAAGGAGAGTTCGAGAGATCCGACGCCCGTTCCCGTCCGTCCCTTGAGATTAGGCTTGGTCTTAATCTCGAGAAGAGCCCTGATTTCGCTTGGTCGATCTCAGCGCTTCAAATCAAATACTTCCTCGGCGAAGGCGAAGCTCTGTCGAATTTTCCATCAACCGGATCCAGATCTAAGGCGGTCCACGGATAAACCCCGACACAGGCAAAGAACCCACGCAAGCAGAAGACCGATAAACAATCTCTGCGTTTGTTTTGATGAGAGTTGTAAACTTTTATTTTCATTGTGTAAAAGTCTTATAAAAAGACAATCTTTTTGTTTTCATTGTAACGACTAAAGTTGTAATGAATACCGCAATGAATACATCAATTTTCGACGCAAACAAACTGGCGACCACAGTGGGAGCCAACAGCTTCGCTGCCGGAGCTGTCGTGTCGCAACCTTGGATCTACATTCCGGTTGAAGAAGTGGTCGAGTACGAGTTCGACCAACTGAAGTTCGAGGAATATCTGTCGTCCTCCTCCTCCAGATCCTCCGCCTCTCGCAAGCGAAGGAAGATCAACGCCCCCGTTGTTGCGCTAGCTGAACCTTACAACGCCCTTCCGGTCTCCAATGAGTCCGGATCTGCAGATCTGAACTCCTCCTCATTCAAGGAGTTGAGTACAGAAGGCGCGCCTATTTTATCAAAGAGAACTCGTCAATGGCAGCGCCAACGTTGTGCGCGCCAACTCGCTAGAGCCTTGGAGTCAATTGATGGGATCCGTTATGAGGCGGATCTGAAAATTAGGCAACGTCAAGCGCCCCAACAGCGGAAAAATGCCCTCTCCTCCAAATCACCAACAAGTGAATGGGTACAAGTCAAAAGGACCCGTTCAACTCTTGAAGAGCGGATCTCCAATGAGTCCGGATCTGCAGATCTGAACTCCTCCTCAATCAAGGAGTTGAGTACAGAAGGCGTACCCACTTTATTGAAGAGAGTTCGCCAAAGGCAGCACCAACACCTTGCGCGCCAATTCGTTAGGGCTTTGGAGTCAATTGACGGGATCCGTTACGAGACGGATCTGAAAATTAGGCAACGTCAAGCGCCCCAACAGCGGAAAAATGCCCTCTCCTCCAAATCACCAACAAGTGAATGGGTACAAGTCAAAAGGACCCGTTCAACTCTTGAAGAGCGGATCAAAAAGCGTCGCGTACTGCTTGCGCGCGCGCGAATTCTTGCGCAAGAGGTCAAAAGATTGCAGAGGGAAGAAGTGGAAAAGAAGCCACAGAAACTGCACAAAGTTTGGAGGCCAAAGTCCAAGACGGCGGCCGAAAAGATCGAAAAATGCGGGTCCATCCACTTTGCGGGTCACTTGAATCCGACCCTCCAACCCGTCGGTCACTTAAATCTGACCCGCGCCAGAGTCAAGGCAGAAGATGTTCTACACCTGTTTCGTCGATCCCTGTGAGTTCCGTACCTCCGGCGGGGCACCGTGACAACGTGGATTTTTATCATGATCGCTCCACTTGGATTTCTCCAATGTGGGCACAATATAAGCACAATCAATAATTTTCCATAAGTCAATATTTCTAGATTCAACAAATAGTTTAAATCTAGAAGCCCATTGTGCATAGGGAAAATTAATGAATTTAGGAGCAACATTGGATTTATAGCCTAAACAAAATACATTCATATTCAAGATATATATATGAACATATGCAAGCAAGACAAATGCAATCATAACTAGATTAGCACAAATAAGATAACTTGGATCTTTAACTCAAGGTGGTTAGACCTTAAATCAAAGAGCACCAAGCTCTGATACCAATTGTTAGACCCTAGAGGGGGGGTGATTAGGGTCTTATGCTAATCTAATCCGATTAAATGCCAATTAAAACTAATTAATAAGTTATCCTAGCAAGTATAAAATACAACAAGATATATGAGCTAGGATAAACAATATGAACAAGGGATATATCCTAGCAATGAGATATTACAAATGTATGAGCAAGGATATATGAACTAACACAAGGGTAAAATAAACAATCTACACAAGTGATAGGGTAATATGATGAGCAATACACAAAGGCGATATAAGATATGAAAACAAGAATAAGAACGCCAATGCAATCACAAACAAAACGATATGTTTACGAGGTTCGGTCCCCACGACCTACGTCCCCGCTCCTCACCTCGAGGAGATCTCCACTATCACAACCGGGTTTTCTACGTTCACCCGAACAACGTTTACACCTCACAATACAATCACTATGTAATCACACCTCACACACTAAGTGTTGGTCCTAGCCCGTGTCCTCCTCCTCAAGTGCTCGGTTACAACCTCTCCCTAGGCACGTCAACCGACGCCACTCCTCTTGGATTCATTTAAATTCGAAATAGAAACGGCTATGCAACAGATGAAGGAAGAGCACGACCGACAGATTCAGGCTCTTTCCAATCAAATGGGCGAATCCAGCCGTCGCAACGCTGCTAACCAAGTAGGTAGCGATTCAGATGTGGATGAACGCCTTAATGCTGATAACCCTCTCGTTGACCAAAACGCTGGGGGTGGCCCCACTAAAGACGACAACGCTGGGGGTGGCCCCGTTATTCCTCTTAAGAATCGTCCAAAGCCCGATACGAGCGAGGATGAGAAAATGAAAGATCTCGAGAGTAAAATCAACGCTCTAATGTCTGATCGAGAGGTAAAGAGGACTGGCATTCCATGTCCATATCCAAGAGAGTGGGACACAATAGCATACCCGGCGAAGTTCAACTTGATTAACTTCACGCCGTTTGACGGGAAGGGTTCACCCACTCAACATCTGATCTACTTCAAGTCCCACTTGGGTATGATCTCCGGTGAAAAGACATCAGCAATGGGGTATATATACCCTCTCAAAACTCAGCCAAAAACACCCAAAACAAAAGACAAAAAAGCCCCCAGAAATCTGCTCAGGAAATAGCCGTTAGGAGCCAATGGCTCTTTTGTCGGTCGACCGAAAATCTCGTCGGTCGACCGATGGAAAGCATTCGGTCGACCGATGGCAACGAGACAGTCGACGACTTCGTCAAGCGCTTCCGGAATAAAGCAATGAACTGCCGAGATCCGATCACGGAGGACTTCATCCTCCAGACATGTCATAACAACCTATCTATTGAGATATTGGAAGTTATGGGAGTCGCACCGTCTAACACTTGGAAAAACTTGAAGGTGCGCGGTGAACAAGCCGAACGCTTCCTCTGAAGGAAGAAGGCCGAGAGGAGCCAACCGACGGCCAATCCTCCGAACTCAAACTTTGCCTCCCGTGATAAGGGCAAGGCACCTGCAGCTGCTGTTAGTACAAATCAAACGTCACAACAGCAATCCCGAAGGCAGCAAAAGACTTCGGACCCGAGACTCCAAAAAGAGTATTCTTTCAAGGACGAGGACGTTCCAGCCATCTTCGAATCTCTCCTTGAAAACAACAACATTAAGCTTCCACCCATCACAAATCAGGAGGAAGCTGATAACATTTTGGATCCAAAGTATTGTGCATACCACAGAAGGATCCTTCATCCCACCAAGGTTTGCTTCGCTCTCAAGAATAGCATCCAAACCCTGGTTGAAGCCGGCGTTATATCGCTCAGTTAAGTCGCAGATAAGACTCCGACAAGTATAAGAGTATAAACTGTTTCTTAATCCTCCGACCGGTATAAGAGGTTAAACTGCTCCCTGATACTCCAATTGGTATATGAGTCTAAACTGTTTCCTACCGTTGACGGGAAGTTCCTAGAGAATTTTTATATGTAATATTCTTAAGGATAACCCGATCATGTAACCCAGTTTCGCGAAGAAGCTGGGGGTGGATGATTCATGTAACGAGGAGTTCCCGAAAAAATACTATATGTAATTTTTTTAGAGATAACCCAATCATTACAAACAAAGTGATAAACACTAAACCCCCACTATGATTTCCGAACACTCTTTTGCTGAGACGAGATTCGATCGCTTCGGTGGATCAATCTTCCCTCACAAAACTCCTATTGGTGTTTGACGATGGATCAATCTTCCCTCACAAAACTCCTATTGGTGTTTGACGACAGATCAACCTTTCCTCACAAAATCCCCCACTGGTCAAATTAATTGACGGTGGGTCCACTAAGATTTTTATCCGCCAGTTCATGGTAATTTTCAAAGCTTGACGTGTTAAGTCCTGATCACTTAACATCAAAATCCTCCATCAAGTGGCTAGTACAAACCAGTATTTCTACTACTACTTGTATTCCACCCCTTTTGCTTTCAGGTCAAACCTATAAAAGTTAGGGCCAAAGCCAGATTCCCCTCTCGATTCCTTCTATGAACGAGAGGTCCACTTTCAAATTGAGCAATCAAACTTATAAAAGTTAGGATTGTCTCCAACTTCACTTAGTCAAACCTGCAGATAGTTAGGACTAAGATTGAGTTATCCCTTTCGATGAACGAAAGATTTCCATCTTTTCCTTTTTTCAGCCAAACCTATAAAAGTTAGGGTCGAAATCGGAATTTTCCCTCAATAAATGAGGAACTCTTTTCTTGGATCAAGCAACCAATCCTATAAAAGTTAGGGTCGTTTGAATCTTTCCGATTCTCGGAGTGGAGATCCCACTCTTAGTTTCATCCTTCCGGATTCTGGGGGTGGAGATCCCACCTCGAGTTTCCTTTCCAACTGAAGACAGAATATAAAATTCTTCCTCTTCAGTGTTGAAAGATAGAATATAAAATTCTTCCTCTTTCGTTTTCAGGTTTGTCTTTACCCTGAGAAAAGACGTAATTCTCGAATCCGCGCACTTTATGCCCGAGGAATTTTATCTCGATTCCTAAATAGAGATAAGCCTACGCCTAACACGCGTTGCCGGTTTAGTCTTTCACCGATTGAAAAAGACACCAGAATCCAATCTGGGGTATTTTATCCCGAAGCCTAAGTAGGGATAAGTCAACGCCTAACACGCGTTGCCGGTTAGTTCTTAACCGTAAAAATGACCGAGTCTACGTATTTAGCATCGTAGCAACAAAAATCCATGCCTTTTATGCATGGGGAATTTTATCCCGAATCCTGAGCAGGGATAAGTCAACGCCTAACACGCGTTGCTGGTTAGTCTTTTGCCGTGAAAAGGATAAAAGTCCACATATTCGACATTGTGGCAGGTCGTTATTCATAACGCCAAAATTCGTGCTTCACACGCGCGGGGAATTTTATCTCGAACCCTAAGTAGGGATAAGTCAACGCCTAACTCGCGTTGCCGGTTTAGTCTTTCACCGATTGAAGAAGACACCAGAATTCTAATCTGGGGACTTTTATCCCGAAGCCTAAGTAGGGATAGGTCAGCGTCTAACACACGTTGCCGGGTAGCCTATTCCCGTAACAATGGCGAAGTCTACGTATTCAATATCGTAGCCTCAAGTCTAAGGGAGTTCATTCCTTTAGCACAACGTAACGTGCGGAACGGACTTAAACAATCCGCATGCAAGCCCGATTCAAACGGTAATCGGTAAAGGCACGCCAAATCCGTTGAAGGCTGAGGGTTTGCCAAAAACCTTAAAGTCTACGTCTGATACACGTCGCTGTTTAGTCTTTTCACAGGAGAAAGATGAAGTCTACGTATTCAATATCGTAGCACTAAAAGAGTTAACTCTTTTAGCATAACGTTACATGCGGAACGGACTTAAACAATCCGCATGCTAGCCCGACTCAAACGGTAGTCGGTAAAGGCTTATCAAACCCGTTGATGGCTGAGAATTTGCCAAAAATTCTATAAATACGAGTCATTAACGTATCAGCTTCATTAGTTGGTCTCATGACTTGAACATCCAACAAACTTCAGGATAAGATCCACACGTGCAGATGAATCAGCTTTAATAGTTGGTCCTGCAGCCAGCCCAACATTCGGGACCTTCACGCTCCAATGCCTTAAGAGCTTAAACTGTGTAGACTCCAGCAAACGTACGAGTATAAACTGTGTTAACGCCGGTCAACGCGTTACAGTAAAGATCGATGTCGGTCAACGCATCAGCAATTTCGCCAAAATAAGGCAAAAGATGACTCCAAGGACTTCAGTTACAATCAGACATGAATTCCCGACGAGGAGGATCAGTTCAAAGCCAACTCAATGGCACGAGCTAAGTTCAGAAAGTTACACACCAATCTCAGTTCAAGATTTCGACAGCGGTCAGACGATAAACGCAGCGCCGGAAGAACTTCACCTATTCGACGAAACAATGAATAGATTAAAGACTGAAGAAGTTAAGAATTGAGATAGTTCAAGGTCACTCTACGAAATTGAGGAGATGGCCTATCTTATCCAAAGCATTCCAGACTCCTCAATAAAAGAATGAGTCTGGAATACTTTGGAGGGGGTATCTGTAGGCGTCTAAAAATGCCTATAGGGCAGGACGGAATGATCCGACCCGCGCAAGCGCGGGACGGATCAATCCGACCCGCGCAAGCGCGGGTCAGATGATTCCGATCCGCGCAAGCGCGGGACGGATCAGTCCGACCCGCGCAAGCGCGGGTCGGATTGGTCCGACCCGTGCAAGCGCGGGTCAGACTTGTCCTGCGCGCACTGTTTCGTCCCGGTTCGGTTTTTGATGGTTTTTCTCGAGATTTGTTGGTTCCTGAGCATCCAAACTGACTTGATATCATCTACAAACGTGGTTAGGCTGTTATTGACTAAAGATAAGGCCAAATCACTTGTTCTCATCCAAATAAACCGCTTCCGAAGCCCTATAAATACAAGCCTAGGGCCTCCTTTCAGCAGGGCGATTGATTATCAAGACGAGAAGGTGCTGCCGGATTGTGGAGTCAAAGGAGCACGAATTTCAGCGAGGGTTGACAGATCTTGGCGAGTTCTTCGGCATAAAGAAGGAGAGTTCGAGAGATCCGACGCCCGTTCCCGTCCCTTGAGATTAGGCTTGGTCTTAATCTCGAGAAGAGCCCTGATTTCGCTTGGTCGATCTCAGCGCTTCAAATCAAATACTTCTTCGGCGAAGGCGAAGCTCTGCCGAATTTTCCATCAACCGGATCCAGATCTAAGGCGGTCCACGGATAAACCCCGGCACAGGCAAAGAACCCACGCAAGCAGAAGACCGATAAACGATCTCTGCGTTTGTTTTGACGAGAGTTGTAAACTTTTATTTTCATTGTGTAAAAGTCTTATAAAAAGACAATCTTTTTGTTTTCATTGTAACGACTAAAGTTGTTATGAATACCGCAATGAATACATCAATTTTCGACGCAAACAGGCTACATGAATACTACTCCTATCTCCAATAAGTACTAATCATTCATTCTAACTACAATTTGTTAATCTTTGCAGTTGAGCACCGCACTGAGCCTGCAACAAGAGAAGTGGCTGAAGCAGATGGGGGTGACAGTGAGGAATGCATCATCATATCTTGAAAGGCTGAAGGTGAGCGAGGAGAGGGAGAAGGTGGTGAGGGATGTCATGGAGAATATGTCGGCGGAGCATCTGTCTGATCTTCTCTCCTTGTATAATATGATGAGTAAAATTGGTGCTGAAATGTTGGAGCAGAAAGTCATGGCTCCGTGAATAAATACCACAGGTATATATATGAGAAGTTTGTAATTGTTTAGGTGTTGACGTGATAAACTGTTTTCAACTTTCCTTCAATGCTTGAAAAGGAGGGAAATGCTAGCTTCAGTGTTTCCTTCCTAGTATTGTTGTGTAAGTAAGGAAAATGTTAGCTTCAGTGTTTCCTTCCTAGTATTGTTGTGTAAGTAACTAAAGCCAAGTTGCTTTTTATCTGTATCTTTTGTCTTATCATGTTTCTTATAACGGTATATATATGAATGAAAATTAGATACTTCGATTCCAGAAAACAGTTTGATTTTGATTGACATCAGAAAATAATCTTTAGGTGACCACACATTACAATATTCTTTTTTTTTTTCGAAATTATATTGAGTCTCAAAATATGTCTCCATAGAAGGTTTTGTTGGGATTTTGTCTTTGATTCTTTGTGTAACTTCATGAGAATTAGATAGGGTTAGAGTTCTATCATGATTAGGAGTTTGGGTTCTATCATGATTAGGAGTTTGGGTTTTATCATAATTAGGAGTTTGAATCTTATTCTAATTAGGAAGTTAGACTAGAGATAAGGTTTTGGTTTCCCTATATATATTCTTCTATTGGTGGAGGAGAAACTATGAAGAAAAAGTAGAGATGTAGTAGATGAGAGAGAAAGAGGGTTTCGTAGTCTTTATTCGTGCAAAAGATTACAAGGAATGAGCTTTGGAGAGAATATGAGAGTTGATTATGTATGTGAGGTTGAGAGATTGAGAGACGAGAGTTGAGTGGTTCCTCTTGTAGTTCTCCCTGATACATAGTGAATTTCTCGTATTGTTGCCCCGTGGACATAGGTCGAAGTTGGTCGACCGAATCACGTAAATCTCGGTGTTCTTTTTTCTTGATTGTGGTTGTTCTATCTTGTTGATTGTGGGTTGGCTTCCGAGTTGCGCATATCGTGGTAGGCAGGGAGACTGATCTCCCCCAACAAGTGGTATCAGAGCGATGATGATGGATCTGGGAGCGAGTTCATAAGATAGAAGACGACATCGTGTAAGATTAAAAATTGGGTGTTACAAAGAAAAGGTTACTGTAGTAGAACACTGTAGCGCGGTGGGCACTGTTCACGTGGGGATCCGACGGTCCAGATTGATTTGTTAGCCGATTGAGGATTTAGAGTCGGATTGGTGATCCAGGAGTTGTTCCTAGGTTTTTCGACGTGCCGAGTTCGTTTTTGGCATTTGTTTCATCAAATTCAAACTCTACGGTGATTGATTTGAATTTTGATTAGAGAATGATTACTTCTTCGGGTCCGAAGTTTGATATTCCGCTATTTAACGGCAAGACAAATCTGATGGTAGATAAGAAGCAGGAGTTGGTGTCCGAAGTTTGATATTCCGCTATTTAACGGCAAGACAAATCTGATGGTAGATAAGAAGCAGGAGTTGGTTGGTGTGTATACTTGAGGAGGACATTAACGGCAAGACAAATCTGATGGTAGATAAGAAGCAGGAGTTGGTTGGTGTGTATACTTGAGGAGGACAATGCCAGATTAGGTGGAGCTTGCAAGCGAGAACGACCGAGTGACGCACATGGAGATGAAGATGGTGGCGTTGGACTTGAAGATGATGAGCGCTCATATTTGGTCCAAGCCAAGTAATGGAGGAGATAGAGGCATCCGGCTCGTAGTGTGGAGTAGGAGAGATGCACCGATATGATTTGACACGAGCGATGCAGGTGGAGTACGAGGACAACAAGTGGGGGAAGACTACTGTAAAGTTCAGTTTGGGAGGAGAAGCATGGTTGATTTGCTTCTAATGTCAGAGGTGGCAAAGATCTCTTGGCCCGCACAAGAGAGGTGGATGTACCACGACGAAGCAGAAGATAGTGAGGATCATGAAGGCATCCAATTGGGAGTGCAGGTGTTCTGATTTGAAGTGCGAAAGAAATAGAAGACTCTAGCGAGAGAGGCAAAGTTTTAAGACGACAATGGTATATCTTCAAGGGAGTTTGGGAATCAAATCCAAGGTGGAGATTGTTGGGATTTTGTCTTTGATTCTTTGTGTAACTTCATGAGAATTAGATAGGGTTAGAGTTCTATCATGATTAGAAGTTTGGGTTCTATCATGATTAGGAGTTTGAGTTCTATCATAATTAGGAGTTTGGATTTTATCATGATTAGGAGTTTGAATCTTATTCTAATTAGGAAGTTAGGCTAGAGATAGGGTTTTGGTTTTCCTATATATATTCTTCTATTGGTGGAGGAAAAACTATAAAGAAAAAGTAGAGATGTAGTAGATGAGAGAGAAAGAGGGTTTCGTAGTCTTCATCCGTGCAAAAGATTACAAGGAGTGGGCTTTGGAGAGAATATGAGAGTTGATTATGTATGTGAGGTTAAGAGATTGAGAGACGAGAGTTGAGTGGTTCCTCTTGTAGTTCTTCCTGATACATAGTGAATTTCTCGTATTGTTGCCCCGTGGACGTAGGTCGAAGTTGGTCGACCGAACCACGTAAATCTCGGTGTTCTTTTTTCTTGATTGTGGTTGTTCTATCTTGTTGATTGTGGGTTGGCTTCTGAGTTGCGCATATCGTGGTAGGCAGGGAGACTGATCTCCCCCAACAGGTTTAACTAGTTTTCTACGTACTCTCATAAATGACACCATAGAATTTCAGCCTCCAATTTCACAAGTTCAACATGACGACTTGTATTTTTTTTATCTATGTCATATCATTTTTCTCCTTTAGAATAAGATGCAGGTAGGGGAAGTAAGGTTTTGCGATATTTTGCTGATAAAACCATATTTTCTCTTTTCTTTGATTAATAGTTAAGAAAAGAATAGAAAATGAATAATTATTTTAAAAAAGAAAAAGAAAACAAGTACATTTTAATGGAGTGAATTTTCTTAAGAATAGTGATAAGTGTATTAAAACTTATATTATTTTTGTACTCTCACAAATAAAAGAGTAGGGTCCATGATGACTCATAGTTTTTCTTGAAAATTTCCAAGAATAGTACTATAGAACCTGTAGTATAGTTATCATTTTCTTTTCTTTTTTTTGAAAGAAATGAGAAAATTTGTAACACCTTTTATTAATATAATTTATGGGATCGTGGAGCACGGAGCAAACCTAGTTGACCATCTTTGCGGACCCAATGGATTATTATCTTCACCTTTGTCTTAAAAGTCCTTTTGGAAAATTCAAGAAACCCTACCGAAATCATCAAATAAAAGTAAAACAGTTGAGGGATTTTATTTTTTGGAAAATTACTTCTAGCCCCCAAAATTAAATAATTTATTTGCTTACTCCTCAAGACTTAGTCCACAATCTCTTTACCCCCCAAATCAATCTTTTTATTTGTTAAACCCCCTAAGTACAATGCCAATCCATAACCACTCAAGAAAAATGTAAAATCTCAAAACTATCTTGGACTATACATTTGACCACCCTTTTTTTAGATTTTTGTGCTCCACTCTCTCTCATCCCTTCTCTCTCCCCTCCCCTTCCCCACTTCTGCTAAACCCAACACACTCTACCATTAATTCTTCTCTCCTTCTTAAAAATAATTCTATCTTTCCTTCTTTTCCTCTCAAACTATAGTGAGGTTCAATTTTCTCTATGGTGGCTAACAACAATTCCATATTAAGAGGGCGTTTGTCATTCTCTTCTCCAGTTATGGTGTCGGATCCGCCATTGTTGGGTTTGGGTTTTAGAAGTAGGGATCATTATGAACGTTGATGGAGGATATAAATAGAGAGAGAGAGAGAGAGAGGAACAAGAGAATTATTGTGGAGTTAAAAATTGGTTGAATTTTAAAGAGCTATTGTTATGACAAACTCCCCAGGATAAGCTAAACACGAGAGCACGAAAAATATCAAGAACACACGAACACAAAGATATACATGGTTTGGTTTATAGCCTACATCCACGGGTAAAGGAGGAGAAAAGCTTTACTAAATAGTAAGGAATACAAAGTGGAGATCTCTCAATCACTCAATCCCAATAACACCCCAAGATTCCCGTACAATCTCTCTAAATAAAAGGAACAAAATAGAAGAATATCAAATAGGTTTCACAAAAGAACTCTCTCTTCTTGATTGGTGCTCTGAAGATTGATGAAACTAATTAGCTTGAAAGACTGTTCTTATATAGCCTTGAAGATCCCAACTCCTTGCTATCTAAGGAATAAGAGTTCTAATCAGAATAGTGTTGTGCGTGGCGGAAGCCATAATAAAACCGATGTGCTTCGAGAAATCAAACCAATCGCCGAGAGAGAAGGCCACAAACAATTCAAAATAACGGCACAAACTCAAACAACCAATTTTAACGTGGTTCGACAAGTTACCTACGTCCACGGGGCAAGAAGGGGATGATGTTTTCACTAATAGAGAAGAAGAGTACAAACTGAGATTACAAAATCACCACGGGGCAAGAAGGGGATGATGTTTTCACTAATAGAGAAGAAGAGTACAAACTGAGATTACAAAATCACACAAACTCACCAATTAATCTCACCAACAAAGCTCTAATTCTCTCCAAATAAAACCCTAACAAATAGCTCAGAAAATACCTCTTTTCTGTGCTGTAAATATCCCTAATTCGCTGCTCAATTCTCTCTTCCAATCGTTCCATATATATAGAAACCCTAAAACCAAAAACATACTAGGAATTCTAAAAAAAATAGATTAGGAATCCTAATAACTTGTTACCAAAACAGATTTGGAATCCTGTTACCAAAACAGATTAGGAATCCTAATAACCTGTTACTAAAACAAATTAGGAAACATATTAGGAACATGCTATCCAACAATTCTCTACCTCAGCAAAGTTTTCCCAAAACTGAGCCGATACCAATACCAACCAAATATCTCACTTGTTACGTCCAGTACGAAGTGGAACAAATCCATGACAACGGACTTAATTCACAACAAGTCAAGAACCCAAACGATAATACGAACAAACTCCAAATGTCGGTATCAACTCACCAAACCGACTGCATCATAAATGACTGCCTACGTATCCTC